CATGACCTGAGCCAAAATCAAGAGTCAAACACACACTTGGGGCACCTGGGTGGCTCAGTTTGTTAAGCGTCTGCCTTTGGTTCAGGTCATGATCCCGGGCTCCTGGGATGGAGCCCCCTGTTGGGCCCTCTGCTCAGCAGGGAGTCTGCTTCTCCCTCTGCCTCTGTCCCTCCCCCCGCTCGTTCTCTCTCTCTCTCTCTCTCTCTCTCTCAAATAAATAAATAGAATCTTAAAAAAAAAAAAAGTTGAACACTCAACCAACTGAGCCACCCAGGCAACACCCCCCCCTTTTTTTTTAGTAAAAAGAAGGTATTCTTAGTCTTGGTTTTAGGAAATCCACTAGACTTGCCCTCTTAGTTGGTGCCCCTGGACTGATGAAGCAGTCATTGTCTGAGAGTCTTGGTGACCTGTTTTGTTTCTCCTGGGACACCTGGTATACAAAGTTGAACACTAGGGAGGAGGTGGACTCTTTGCATCGGTAGCCCAGGGTTTCCTGAGTGTAAAGAACCAGTATTCCCTTTAATTCCTTCTGCCCCAAGATTTAAAATTGGGAACATTAGTGTGGACTGTGGTAGCTTCAACTGAGGCTTAACAGCAGGGAAGGGGACCATCCTAGGCTCAGAGAACCATCCTAGGCTTGAGAGTCCCTGAACCCCAGCTGAATGGGTTTGATTTGGCAAAGCCTGTGGCTAATGCTAGAAGCTCCTGCAGCCCCTTGGCCCAGGGAGCAAAGTCTGGACCTGGGTGTTGAAGCCTGAGACCTCAGGTACCAACCTCTGTAGGTGATTTTCTTTCTTTAAAGACTGTATTTATTTATTGATTTATGAGAGAGAGAGAGAGAGAGAGCACAAGCAGGGGAAGCAGCGGGCAGAGCAGGCAGAGGGAGAAGCAGGCTCCCACTGAGCAGAGAGCCCACAGGATCCTGACCTGAGCCGAAGGCAGAGGCTTAACCAACTGAGCCACCCAGGGATCCCTCTGTGGCTGATTTCCTAAGAGGACATTGAATGGGTGGAAGAAGTATGACAGACCCTGTGGAGAGCAAAGCTCTCCCCAAATAAGCATGGAAGCTGGAAGGCTGGCTCTTTTGGACGGAGTGCTTGGAAGATTTTGGAAGAAGTAAAAATATCAAAAGGAAGATTTTATTTTCCTGATAATAAGCCAGATGGAGTTAATTACAAATATAAAAACAAAAATTTATAAGATGTGACTTATAAATGTTTCCCAGATTTATGGATAAGACTACAGTGGTTGTACTTTATTTTAAATAAAGTTATTTTTTAAAATAATGGCCACCTTCAGCTATTCTAAGGTTCTTTCTGGAAAAGGAATTTTTGTCCACAGGTGAACCAGAATTTTACAGGAGACTCTGACTGGCAGGGTCCAGACATGGCGGTGGCTAATGGACACATTCCTTCACCCATTGAACAAATAGTCAATGATGTGTGCCAAGCAATGGATTAAGTGTCAGAGCACAGGACAACCCTAGTTCTTGCCCTATGGAGCTTGCAGTCTGAGAAAGAAACAGATAACTGCATGAAATAATATAGAGTAAATAGCTCTGAAGTTTACAGTAAAGGCATTGACCTGGCCCGGTGGTGGTAGTTTAGGAGAGCTTTCCCTTAAATAGGTGACCCTGGAGGATATCTAGGCAGAGAGGGAAGGGAGATCACTGCAGACAAAAGGAATAGCCTGTGCAAAGATCCTGTGGTGGAAGGGAGTCTGGAAGAGTAAACAAGACAAAGATGATGTGGCTAAGGCAGAGAGAGCAAAGGGCAGAGTGGAGTTGGAGGTGGAGTTGCGGGGCACAGGGCCACCCACGCCTGTGGGGCTTCATAGGCCAGATTCAGGATTTTTGTCTGTCCTAGGGCAGGGGGAAGCCTTTGGAAGCTTTAAGGGTGGGTGCCTGGGTGGCTCAGTCGTTAGGCGTCTGCCTTCAGCTCAGGTCATGATCCCAGGGTCCTGGGATCGAGCCCCACATCGGGCTCCCTGCTCCGCGGGAAGCCTGCTTCTCCCTCTCCCACTCCCCCTGCTTGTGTTCCTGCTCTCGCTGTCTCTCTCTGGCAAATAAATAAATAAAATCTTTAAAAAAAAAAAAAAAAAGAAAGAAAGCTTTAAGGAATTGGAGATGACGTGACCAGATTGGGTTTTGAACAGATTACTCCACCTGGAGTGTCAAGACGAGATTGGAGCAGGGTTGGAGTGGATGCGGACCCAGACTGGAAGGCAGCTGTAGGCATTTACACTGCAGATGGTAGTTTGGGCCAGAGTGGTGGTGTGGAGACAGAAGTGGAAAGCTTGGAGGGATATCTAGGAGATAAAGTTCACAGGACTTGGGGAGGGATGGGTGTGGCTGGGTGGAGGGTGGAGAGGAGCAGTAATAGGAGAACCCCCAGGTTTCAGGTTTGTGGAGCCGCACCACTTGGGCGCCATCCACAGGGACAGGGGTCCCTCACCAGAGAGAGGAAACTGCAGGGGAAGCTGATGCTCAGAGACACAGAATCAATACCCTTTGTGTAGTTCTCGTCTATGTGGAAATTCTCCTTTGGGTGACTTGGAGGATTTGGTTTTGGTTTGACTGAAACTGTCCCCTTACCCCGGGTTCTTCAAGTGTAGTCTCTAGACACTTACATTAGAATCAACTGAGATGTTAATAATACAGATTTCTGGGCACCAGCATAGACGTCGCGAACCAGAATCCCCGGAGCAGAGGCCAAAAAGTGTGTTTTAACAAGCTCACTAAGCGGTGGACTCCTATGCACAGTAAGGATTGAGGACAACCACCTTCTATTCTTCTTCTCAGCTGTATTTTTCCCATGTTCTCCCTCCCAATACCCTTCTTGTGCCAGCAGCGGCCATGAGACCACATGGCCAAAGTTCTGAGTTCTGACCACTTGTCTTCTTGAACCTTTGAATTTAAGAAGGCTTGCAAAACAAGGGGCTCCTAAGGCAGTAAAAAGAAGACTAAAAGGGGGGCTGGTTGTATTAGCTGTAAACACATGAACAAGGTGCTGCACATACAAGAAAGGAACCAGCTCTTCCCTCAAGAGGCTCCGGCCCAGTGGGGGTGACAGACACGTAGACATTGAAAATACAACACATATGTAGTACTTACTATGAGCCAGGCACTGTTCCAAGTGCTTTATAGTTACTAATTTAGTTAATTCTTACAACCACCTTACAAGATAGGTTCTGCGACAGAGGTGGTGATAAAATGTACTGAGGACCCCAAGAAGAGAACTCTGATGGGCTTCATGGAGGTGGTTATCAGATGAACCACAAAAGATGAGAAAGAGTCAAGTCCAAGAGGCAAGGAGGACAGAGGAATCATCTAGTATGTGCGAGGCACAGAAATGTAAGACAACACAGTATATTTGGAAAATGAAACCCGTTTGCTGAGGTCTGGCATCTAGGTGCATACATGCAGAGTGGCAAGGAATATGGATGAAGAAAAGCTTGACCAGATTAAAAATCTTTTTGCCCTATTTCAGAGTTTGGGCTTTCTTTTGAAAGTAAGAGAGAGCTTTCAGTTAGGAATGACAGGATCAATTTTGCATTTCACAAGATTCATGATGAAAGCAATGTGGTAAAGAAATTAGGAGTTGGGCTGGAGGTGGGGAGGGTGAGACAGGAACACCTGAAATAGCATAGAGGCAGTGAGAATGAAAATGGGGTGGGTTGGAACAAGGTTCCATAGGAAGTAGAACTGATTAGACTTGGTGACAATTAGATGTGGAGAGGTGGGAGGGATGTGGTCTGGGTTTCTCACTCACAGGTGAGGAGAGGCACTCTGCACAGAAATGCAGAGCCCAGGAGGAAGAGCAGAACCTAAAAGGGAAGGTAACTTCCAGTTTTCAGTCCAGCAGTCCCTGTGGATCACCTGAGAAGACTCATCTTGGGTGAGTCAAGGAGGGATCCTGGGGGCGCTACCTCTAGGAAGGGAGATGGTCCGAAACAAGGGTAGTTGCACTACATCCCTGTAAGGTAGTCAGGAAAGGTAATTCATTCAACCGACATTTAAAGAATATACAGTGTGCCAGGCTCTGTACTTGGTGATGAAAATAAGAAGAGACCCCAGGAAGGGTGACAAGGAGACAAGTCAGTCAATCACATCTGGGGGCTGGCTGGAGTAAGCACGCGACAGAAATCCGAAAAGGGGAACTTTTTATTTTAAAACTACAGGATACAAAAAAAAAAAGATATCGAACACCGAAAAACACAAAAAATTACCTACAGTCTCATCATCCTGAGAAAACCAAGTTAACCACCTGACGTAGCTTTTCAAACTTTGTATTTATTTTTTAAAGGCGGGCGCCCTCTACTGTTTTTAAAAAGGGACAGCTGAATTCTTACTGGAAGCAGGCGTGCCGCCGGGCAAGGTTTTGCAGGCTCTGCTTCGAGGCTAGGATTTAAGGAATCGTACATCAGTGGCGCAGACGATGGGGGAAAGGAAGGGCATGATTCTCGCTGTCCAGACAAGGAAGTCCAGCCTTGGAGAAGGACGTGACTGTAGGCACCGCGAAGAAAGGCAGGGGCCCCGAAAGCCCGACTCGGCAGTCCCCGTCGCCCCAGGGCTACTGGGCGGAGGGAGCGGGGGCGGGAGAGACGCCGGATCTGTTGGGGCGTGGCCCTATGACGCGACGTCACGTCTCCCTGCCCGGTAGCCCATTGGTTCTCCATTACCGCCCTTTTCCGGGGCAGGGAAACTGGCCGCAGAGCCGGAAGCGGGGTAGCCCTCGGGCTTGAGGGGGCGGCGGTGTGGAAAACAGAGAACCTGGTGCCATTGGAGCTGGCCAGCTTCTCCATTCAGGCTCCAGCCCGAGTTGAAGACCCCCAGGATTCCGGTGGCCTATGGAAAGGATCGCATCGCGAAGTATCCGGCGCAGACCGAAACAGCGCAGCCACTGAGAGCCGCCGGAAGCTTCGTCCCTAGGAGGAGTCGAGAAGCCTCGCCGTGGAGGAAGGAATCCGGAGGGCCTGCCCCCGGGGCGGAGCCCGCGGCCATGGCCACGCCCCCGGGGGCCGGTCCCGCGGCTCTGCGCTTCGCCGCCGCCGCCAGCTGGCAAGTTGTGCGGGGACGCTGCGTGGAGCATTTTCCGCGAGTCTTAGAGTTTCTACGATCGTTGCGCGCTGCTGCCCCTGGTTTAGTTCGCTTCCGCCACCACGAACGCCTGTGTATGGGCCTAAAGGCCAAGGTATTGGAGCCAGTAGGAGCTGGAAGACGGGAAAGGGGAGGGATGCGAGGGCCGAGGGCCGACTGCTTGGGGTTGGGACTCATTGGAAAGGGGCAGCTTGCCCCGAAGTGGAGATTGCGAGTTTAGTACCCTTCACAGGTAGTGGTGGAGTTGATCCTGCAGGGCCGGCCGTGGGCCCAGGTTCTGAACGCCCTGCATCACCATTTCCCAGAGTCTGGACCTGTAGTGCGGGACCCCAAAGCTGTGAGTAATCCCTGGAATAAGCCCTATACCCCAGTTAATACTGGGTGCCACAAAGTTGATTCTCCTTCCGGCCACTGGGTCCTGGTGACCCTAAATTGTCTGCTTTTCCTACTCAACAGACAAAGCAGGATCTGAGGAAGGTCTCGGAGGCACAGGAGACCTTTTGCCAACAGGTGAAGCAACTAGCAGAGGCCCCAGTGGACTTGGCTTCCAGGCTGCAGGTGAGACTGGCTGGCTTGGAAGCTATTATGTGGCTAACATTTCCCTAGTCCTCTTCTGACCTGCCTTTCTACCTCCCTGCAGGAACTTGAACAAGAGTATGGGGAACCCTTTCTGGCTGCCATGGAAAAGCTGTTTTTTGAATACTTGTGTCAGCTAGAAAAAGCCCTGCCTGCACTGCAGACACAGCAGGTTTTGTTGGGACAAAATAAGGGCAGAGTGGGGGATGGCTGTCAAGGACTGTGGTCTTCATGCCTCTCTCCCTCTGCCCACAGCTTCAGGATGTGCTGAGTTGGATGCAGCCTGGAGTTTCTATCACCTCTTCTTTTGTCTTGAGCCAGTATGGTGTGGACATGGGGTGGCCTCTTCCAGGTATGAGGACCATCTGGGAGAACAAGGAACTTGGGGGTGGATTGTTTGGGCTGAGACCTTTTGAGATGGGCTATTGGAAGGGTTACATGGACCTGAGCCATAAGAAACCAGACTGAGTTGTGTTTCTGTCTGTTCTGAGGAGCTTCATTTTCTTTTTCAGAGTGCTCTGTTCCCGATTCGGCGAGCATGACAGAGCCCACGGAGCAGAATCCTCCTCAGCAACCAGAACTAGCACTTCACGATCCTTTGCCAAATGCTAGGCCTGGCCCACACCTACCTCAGGCACCAGCCTCAAGGAAGCACCAGGAACCTACAGCTGGCCACCATTTCAATCTGGCCCCTCTAGGCCGGCGAAGAATCCAGTCCCGATGGGCATCCACTAAGGGAGGCCATAAGGAGCGCCCCACAGTCATGCTGTTCCCCTTTAGGAATCTGGGTTCACCAACCCAAGTCCTATCTGAGCCTGAGAACAGGGAAGAACATGGGACAGACATGGCAGATCCAGCAGGTGCTGGGGGCACGAGAGCAGCTTCCACTGGAAAGTCAAAGAGTCCATCCCAGACCCCGGGGGGAAGGGCTCTGAAGGAGAACCCAGTTGAGGTGTTTGCTTCAGAGCAAGAAGAGTGAGTGGAACAGTTGCTTCTCCCTACTAGCAGTACATTCTTTGCCTGCTTTCCCCTCAGCTTATTTTTTTGCTTGCTCCCAATGCAGGAATTGCCTGGTTTGTCCCATGGACCCCCTGAGACTGTCATTATCCCCTCCTAGAGCCAGGAAGCCATGTAAGTATCCTGAGTCAGACTGGGTCAGACAGCCTCCTCTCGCGGGGACTCTTGAGGGCCTGTTTGCCTAGAAGGGTACTTTGATTCTGGTTTCCTTCCTGCAGTGTGTCCTCCATCTCTGTGCAGCTCTGTCATTACCATAGGGGACTTGGTTTTGGACTCTGATGAAGAAGAAAATGGCCAGAAGGAAGGAAGGGTGAGTAGGAAGGAACAGAAAGCTGGGGAAGGGGCTGAGCTGAACAAGACAGAGAAACCCACATGCTCCAGAATATGGAGGGCTCAGGGAATGAGATGATGATAGCATCTCCCTGCTCCCTTCTCTGCAGGAGTCTCTGGAAAACTATCAGAAGACAAAGTTTGACACCTTGATCCCCACCTTCTATGAATACCTCCCCACTTCTGGGGGCCCCAGTGCCATGTCTGTCCCTCCCATGACTGTAGAGACAGGTCTAGACACTTAGGACTGGGATTCCCTCTGCACTCTGCATGTCTTCTTCCTCAGCTCTACACACAGTTTAGTGGGAATAAAGCAGAAGCCCGGGCTTGGGTGACCTGACTACCTTGCTAAAATTACCTTGTAATCCTTGTTAATTAAAATTTGGATTTGTTAAAACACTGCCTTGGTGTGAGGAAGGGGAATTAAGGCTTCTATCGAGTCAGTGTAGGTCATTCCTTAGAACTGGCTTCACCAGGGCTGGAGGAATCCCTTTGCCTTTTTACTTCCCCTGGAAAATGGTGTTCACATGTGCCAAGAAGGGTTGATAGCCTTGAAGGGAAATTTCCCTTCACTATGTTAAAAATATCTGTGTGTCCTGATAGCAGACTGTACTTCGTAAACTCTCCTGCCGTCGGGTTGCCTGGGGGTGGTGGCACTGGAATGGAGATACCTCGTGGAAAAAGTATTTCCTGTCCTTGGCTCTACTGGGTCAGTGCCAACTCTACTGCTACTTGCCCTGGAGCAGCACCCAGGTGCCAGCCTTGTGCAGAAAGATCCAGAATCTCTTCAAAGTCCTTGGGATCTCTTTATTGAGATATTTAAAATTATGTCAGCACTTTTGGGCTTTTTAGGTATTCAAAGATCCTATTTAATGAAGCTCATTAACAAAACATGATTTCAGGAGCCTCACTCTTCCAGACCAAGATCATTAAACACTTAGGTAGGAATCAGCATCTTTTCCTTTTAATAATCTTCAGGATGCTGGGTGCCCAGATTCACATTTGACTGTCTGACTTCATTTTCTCAGCCTGCCTGCCTTTGCTTCCTCCCCAGTGAGTGCCATGGGCATTTTGTGTGTACAGAGTACAGAATTACTGCAGGCGCCCTCAGGAGTGAGGCAACAGGAAATGACTACGAAATAGCCAGAGTAGCTGGGATGGCTGAGGAGCCCACCTGAGGGGCCCTGTGCTCGGGTGCTAGAGCCTTGAGAAGGCATAGCTGCTCAGGTCTAGCTGTCATCACTGAAGATTGGATTCACCTGCTGGGTGACCCGGATGAAGGTGGTTCTCCGGCTCAATTCCTTCAGTTTAGCTGCTCCCACGTAGGTACATGTGGAGCGGATGCCTCCAAGGATGTCTCGGATGGTATGCTCCACATCCCCTTTAAAGGGCACCTCCACCGTCTTTCCCTCTGAGGCCCTTCGAGGAGAAAAACTTTCTTACCTTTTCCTTTTGGGTTCCTTAAGCCCAGTGATGGCTCGCCCCTGCTCTCTGGCATTGAGCCCGAGCTCACCACTGTTCCTCCAAGAACCGTACCATGCACCTCCCAGCAGCCAGGAGTTCTGCCACCACCCTACTTAGTCACGCTTTCCAGGAACCCTCGGCTCCTGGACCTCTGCACATACCTGTACTCAGCCACGCCCCCGGCATATTTCTTCATGGCCATTTCAGAACTCATCCCATAGAAGAGCTTGTACTTCCTGCCATCATCCCTCTCGATGAGCTCACCACCTGACTCACTGTGCCCCGCCAGCATGCCACCCAGCATCACAAAGTCAGCTCCTGCCCCTGCCAGCATCCACAGAGGAGGGAAAGAAGTGAATCTGGCCCAGGTACCCACATACCCACCCTCAGAAGCAACTCACGCCAAATTCTCAGTCCTGACAACGAGTCTAACATCTTCCTGGTTTTGTTCCCCTAGCTGATGCACAACCCACACAGGCCTGCTCTGCTCTGGCCTCTACTCCTCAGTGGGCTTGATTTCCCCAAGAATTTAAAAGGAGCCTCTGGAGATTCCCTGCCTGCTCTCTCTCTTGTTTTTTTGCTGCTTTTGCCATCTTCTGGTCATTTCTTTTCATTGTGTGCAGCTAAACAAGACTCACTCCAAGTGTCCCAAGGGCAAAAGTCTCTAACTTGAGTCCCACAGTCCGGGGGATACTACAGGTGCCGTGGCCTGCGCTTGGGCAGTCCATATCAGAGTCTCAGGATTTCTCTTGCTGGCTTGCCCCAGGTGACACCACAGCTTCAGGGTCACTAGTTCATATTGTGAAAGAATTTGAATGGCTTTATCAGCCTTTCCAAGCCTGATCCTTGACCCTCAGAGGTGACTTATCCTCTTCTACAGGACCCTCTCTCCATGCTCTCCCAACATCCTTACCGAAAGCCTTGGCCACATCCCCAGGACAGCTGCAGCCTCCGTCCTGAAAAGTAAGGATCACTATGAAGAGAGAACATGGATTGCCCAAGCACTCTGAGCGATGTTCCCACGGCCCACCTCAAAGCTGACAGGAACCCAGGAGTCCTGATCCACTGCTACCACAGTCTCCACAGCCAGCAGAAAACACAGATGTTTGGCAGCCTCATACCCTACCCTGCCCTTGGGCCTTACTGAGATGATGTGGCCTTTGAGGCCATGAGCAGCATCTGCACACTCCATCACTGCACTGAGCTGTGGATACCCCACTCCAGTTTTCTTCCGGGTGGTGCACACGGAGCCTGGGAAGAATGTAATGAGAACAGTGAAGTGCTCCACAGGCATCTGCCACTGGGGAGGTAGCCCATGGCCCCCAGTGAAGCAGCTTACCTGGTCCAATTCCCACTTTGATGATGTCAGCCCCAGAGAGAATCAGCTCTTCCACCATCTCTCCTGTTACCACATTCCCTGCCTGAGGCACAAAACGGCAGTCTTAGGGTCGGAAACAAGAGAGGAGGTTGAATGCTGTCATACACAGCATGCCTGGACTGTGACCTTCCAGCGTTATTACCTAAGTTTCCTCTACTGGGCAAGGACTCTACTTCTCAAGCTGAGGTAAGGGGGTTAGTGGCCAGCATCACTGTTGCACTAGGGTAAAGCTGGGGTCCAGTTGGACCAAGGCCAGAGCTGATTTACAGATTTATCTTCTCGTCCTTGCCAAGAGATCCAAACATATCCTGTCATTAAGCTGTTATGTCATAAAATCTCTGGCTTCAGGGAAAGGGGGAGATGTGGTCATGTAAGCTAAATATCCATCTGTCTTCTGATGGACAGTACAGAGAGACCCCTTGATGCTGTAGAGAAAATGAGGCCTTGCCATCACTCCCCTAAGCTTGTAAAAAAAATAAATAAAACTCTTTCACGCGACCCCTCTAATATGATTCTAGTCCATGTCCACTTCAGTGGGCAGATGAATATATACCGTAGGTACGTACAAGGCATGTATCAAGGGACAGAGGTAACTGCACTAACCAATCTGAACATTTTAAGCATGGAACCATGGATTATCACCCAGTGACAAGATTCAGTGGACTAGGAAAATCAGCATAGGAGAAATGAACTGACGTCACAAAATGAAGCGTCTGGAAAGAGTGAAAGGAAGAGGAACGTACCAACTACAGGGTACTGGAAACATACCATAATGGTGTGCTTGGGGAAGCGCTTCCGCACATCCTTTACAAACTCAACAAAGTGTTCTGAGTAGCCATTTGCCACATCCAGGCATATGTATTTCACCTGGGGAATAGCTTCCAGGATCTGCTCCAGCTGTTCAAAGTCTGAAGAGCCTGTGCCTGAGCTGGCAGCCACATGCTGTGAGAGAGAGAGGGCCACTGGCATGTCACAAATGACCCAGTGAGCAGCCAGCGGGGCTGGTAAGGTGAGGGTTGGTTCCCAGGAAGCCAAAAAGAGATACCTGGAAAACTGGGATAAGGAAGGGATCAGGGGAGGACCAGCATTACCTCAAGACACTCAGGATTCTGGCTAGCAAACTCTTTCCACTGCCGCAGGCTGTAGTGTTTATGAACAGCTGTGAAGAGGGAGAACTGGGGAGAAGAAAAAGCCATCAAAAAGAGAACTTTACAAGCGTCTCTTTTGCTAGAAACAGACATTTATAGTATTCTATCTGAGGGAGAAAAGGACTGAACTTTGGAAAGCAACTTGAAGACACCACTGGTTGAGCTGGGATTTTAGCTTAACCATTATTCTCCCTACAAATACCAGTAGGGCTTTTTCCCGTAAGCCAGTGCTTGTCCAACACTCCACCCAAAGTACAAAGTCATCTGGATTGGATTTCACCAATCAGCACCTACAGGTGACAAAGACAAGCTGCTGGTGCAGTGGCACAAGCAGCAGACAAGAAAGAGAGAGGCAATATCTGGAGAGAGGCACTATCTGCCTGCACTGACTCAGCCCCTCCCCCTATGGTAGCCTAGTCCTGAACTAACCTATTTTTGGGTATCTTCTGGTCCATTTACCAGCAATAATTCAGTGAGTCTCAATGCTCACAAAAGGCAAGGTCTTAATGGAGCCAATAAGGTGCTACCCCATTCTTTCTCCATCTCCATTGGAGTAAAGGACAAGTTTTTTGGAGACACGGACCAACCTAAAAAGTCCATTTCCTTCCATCTGTTTCAGTCAACAGTTGACAAGTTCAAGGA